AGCCGCCTGGGAGCTCCGCGGGGACGGGCCGATGGAGCGGCTGCTGCTCGTCAACAATGCCAGTGAGCAGGCGCTGCTGATACGCGCTCCTGAGCGCGTGCAGAGTGTGTTCCTCCAGAGGCAGCTGTGGGACCGGCCTGCAGGGCACTTATTTTTCAAAATATAGTCCAGCCCTCCACAAGGTCTGAGGGACAGTGGACCGGCAACCTGATGAAAAAGTTTGCTGACCCCTGACCCCTGCTTTATGAGGACAGTATGTTCAAGTGGCCAAGGAATGCTATCTCGCAGTGGGGGGGGAAGCAGGTGGACAACGTAATAGAACGAAGTACAGTGGACGCTCGGGTTGTGAACGTGATCCATGCGGGATGCACGTCCGCAACCCGCAGTGTCCGCGACCTGCAGTGGCGCTTTTGCGCATGCGTGGGTTGTGATTTGGTGCTTCTGCGCATGCGCGACTGCTGAACCCCAGAAGTAACTCGTTCCGGTACTTCCGGGTTTTAGCGGTCCGCAACCCGAAAAAACGCAATCTGAAGCGTCTGTAACCCAAGGTATGACTGTATTGCATGCCTGGCTGGCTGGCTGGCTGGCTGTCAGCAGAACATTTTGTTGAAGGTCCCATGTGTGGTAACTATTTTACGGATATTGTAGATCTGTATCTGGTGAGCAGAGGGAGGGAGCAAGCTGCACAAGCCCTCCAGGAAGCAATCACTGAACACTGCAGAAAAAGCTCCACAATGAGGAAACAGCAAAGAATCAAAGCGGTAAAGACGAAAATTAAATTAAATTAAATTAGAATTGCCATTGCTGCTGCCATCGCCACTTCTAAACTAGATAGGCCTTGGGGAGCTGCAGAAAACGGGCTAGGAGGAAGAAGATCTTTTGGTTCCCTTTACATGTGAACCAGGAGTCCTGGGTTAGTTTCTCCCCGAGAAGCCACAACTGCTAGCCAGCCTTAAACAATTGTTCATTTGTTTGTTATTTGTTCCAACAATTTATATACGGCTTGACACTTTAAGCAGTGGTGCAGTAAAGTCATTGCCATGGCTTGTTAGGAAGCAACAAACCACAATCTGCTTCAGGTGTAACAGGAGCCCACGGAAGAGCAACTGGACAAGGACTCTGCTTGCATGTGCTTGGTTTGTGGTAAGCCATGATAAGCCAGTAAGGTAAAGGGACCCCTGACCATTAGGTCCAGTTGTGGCCGACTCTGGGGTTTCGGCGCTCATCTTGCTTTATTGGCCGAGGGAGCCGGCGTACAGCTTCCGGGTCATGTGGCCAGCATGACTAAGCCGCTTCTGGCGAACCAGAGCAGCGCACGGAAACGGCATTTACCTTCCTGCTGGAGAGGTACCTATTTATCTACTTGCACTTTGACATGCTTTCGAACTGCTAAGTTGGCAGGAGCTGGGACCGAGCAACAGGAGCTCACCCCGTCGTGGGGATTCAAACCGCCAACCTTCTGATCGGCAAGCCCTAGGCTCTGTGGTTTAACCCACAGCGCCACCCGCGTCCCTCGATAAGCCAGTAACCTTGCATTATTGTTCTGTGCCAATGGGGCCATCTTAGCCTAACTACTGCAAAGAGTTGTTTGTGATGATAACATGTGGGAAGTACAAGATACAAATAAAAAATGTAGCAGAAATTTTTCTCTGGCTTTGTTAATATTGCTGTAAGACTAGAATCTGGTTACTGGAGCGGTGCTGGTCTGTTGCTAAAACTTTGCCTTTGAGGCAATACCTGTCTGGAGTCTGGGACTTGACAATGAGGAAAGTAATGGTAAAGGGCACCGGAAAGTGTGTGATAACATTTGCTTTGCAGCACAACATCTTCAAAGCTCCCTGCAGAAACGTTCAATAAATAGGTCACCTTGCTCCCTACCTGTAACCCAAAAGATGTTTGAATATTTATTTGCTGGAACGTTTTAAGTTTTAAAAAGACCTGTAAATGGTGGGGTGGGGGTGTTTACCGGTACATCAGAGAGAAGGCACCTTTTTCTAAGGGATTCTTCCAGCTGACTACATGTTTTGAGTCCCTGGGTGGATTTTAAGCAATTCCCGGGAAATAACAATGGATGTTCAGATGCAAGAAACAGCGCTCAGCGACGCTGACCTGCAATAAACTTAGCAGCACAGGCAAACAGCAGAATCAAAGTTTAGCCAGTGCCATTGTGGGCTCCTAACCTCAGGAATGTTAATAGTTTGCTGGCGGATAAGCAGCAACTTCATGATAGATTTGAGGAGATCTGCATTCCTTTCCATGTGACAGCTGGAGAAAGGGCTGGAGCTTGCCTTCAGCAAACAGGGCCGTTACAAAATCCCCAGGGGTCACCTCCATTGACACCCTGTTGTACACCAACCTTTCCCAAGCTGGTGCTCTCTAGACATTTTGTACTAAAATTCCCAACAGTCCCAGCCAGCACAACACAGGTATGCCAGCTGAGGCCGACAGGAGTTATAGTCCAAAAGATCTAGAAGCCACTAGCTTAGGAAAAGTCACCATAAACAAATTATTATTATTATTATTTATTAAATTTGTGCGCTACCCTTCATCCGAAGATCCCAGGGTGATTCACAACAGAAAAGGGTAAGCACAATCTCAGCTAGGCCTTCACCGCCAACTCAGGTGAACAAATGCAAATGTCATGGACTGCCTGGATGATGGAGAGTGGTGGGAGGCATTAGCTGGGGAACCCCCAAGAGGATGAAGGCTCAGAGCCCAAGAGTGCGATGGTGATGAGTGGCTGGAGGGACAAGAGGGAACAGACTGGGAGGAGGAGGAAGTGTCAGAAGCTGAAGAGGTAACAAGTTTTAGTGAGCAGGAAGAGGCTGTGGCAGAGGGCAGTCCGGAACTGGAGGCAGAAGCGGAGGCTGGAGCAGAGGGACCTGGGCCTGGCGGATCAATGATTTCCCCTGTATGAAACAGCTTGCAGGGTTTCTCATCCCTCTAGACAGGAATGGGTAGCCTGTGCCCCATTCTGTTGCTTATGAAGAGAGCGGGTGGCACTGTGGTCTAAACCACTAAGCCTCTTGGGCTTGCTGATTGGAAGGTCAGAGGTTCAAATCCCTGTTGCTCTGTCCCAGCTTCTGCCAATCCTAGCAATTCAAAAGCACACCAGCGCGAGCAGAAAAATTGGTACCACTGCGTTGGGAAGGTAAATGGCGTTTCCGTGCTCTCTGGCTTCCGTCATGGTCCTCCATGCACCGGAAGCTATTTTGTCATGCTGGCCACATGACCTGGAAATCTGTCTGTGGACAAACGCCGGCTCCCTCAGCCTGAAAGCGAAATGAGCGCCACACCCCATCGTCGCCTTTGGCTGGACTTAACAGTCCAGGGGTCCTTTACTTTTACCTTTACCTCTGTTGTTTGGCTTTGGTTCCCATCATCCCTGACCACGAGTCATGCCAACTGTCTTGACAGTCCAGCAACAGCTTGGTGCGGCTACTTTCTGGGCCCGGCCCTGCCGAGCCTGGAAGCTGATGCTGCCTTGGACAAGCAGCACAGGAAGGCAGAGCCCTCTGGATCTCCACTCTCCCAGTGCTCTGGACATCCCCACCCAAGGACTAGAGACCCCTGCCTCAGTTGTCTTACTCCAGCCCTCTTCCACTTTCTCCTTCCCTTCCCTGTTTTCTGCTCTTGCCACCCTACCCAACAGTCAGTCACAGTCAGCCTATTCAGAGGCAGTTTTAGGGTAGCACGACTGGTGCAACCATAACAGTGCTGTAGAATGGAGCACAAGAGGCATTGGGGGGCACCAAATTTTAGCATCACACAGGGCACCATTGACATTTGAGAGCCCGAAATCCAGCACTGACATATTTTGTTGCTACTGGACATGCTCAGTTCTCATCAGGCTGTTCCGGGGTTCTCCCTCCCTTAGGGTTCCCCCTGTTAATTCCCCCGTGCAAACCTTGTGGTCCCAAGTCTGGTGATACATCTCCCCTTTTTGTGGGCGGTGTTGTTTCAGCTGTTTATGGATTAGGACTGAGAGAACTTAATTTGCTATTAGTATTAATAATAGTTAGCATTATTATTAGTCCAGGAGCATGTCCAAACTGCAGACCTGAGCCCATCCAGCACAGACGGAATTCTTATTTCCTGATCTGCTTTCCAACCGACCAAAATCACCTCTGTCTTGTCTGGATTAAGTTTCAATTTGTTCACCCTCATCCAGTCCATTTCAGGTGACAGACATTGATTTAAAACTGAGACAGCTTCCCTGGATTTAGGTAGAACAGACAAATAGTGTGCTGGGTGTCATCAGCATACTGTTGACACTGAACTCCAAAACTCTGGACAACCACTCCCAGCAGCTTCACGTAGCTCAGTCAGTAGAGCATGAGACTCTTAACCTCAAGATCATGGGTTCAAGCCGCACATTGCAGGGGGTGGGCTAGATGGCCCTTGTAGTCCCTTCCAACTCTGCAATTCTATGATTCTACGTAAATGTTAAATAGCATGGGAGACAGAACAGAACCCCGAGGGACCCCAAGGCATCAAACAGGGGTCCTCCAGCACCACCTTCTGGGTAATAATTTTCTGAGCAATTAACAAATAAAGCAACAGCTAGAAAAATTATGGGACACAATCAAATAAACATGAAAAGCCAATAACTGAAGCCTCATACTATGCAACTGTAGAGATCATGACATCTGTGCTCACACAAGCAGTAATGGTCTTTCCCAACCAAGTTATATTTAAAAGAGCTCCAATGAAGTTGATGGGCATGAGTAACTGAGGTGCTTCATTTTGAAGGGTCTACTCCCTATGGGCAGGAGTGATTATGATCAGACCCACATATGCAAATGATATAAATGTCAATAATCATGCATGCGCATTGTTCAACAAACTTTTGATTATTATTTTTTAAAAAGGTTGCTTAAGTGTTGGTGCAGATGGAGATGGGAGTCAAAGATGCTTCTCACCTGGAGTGCTATTTGGTTTAGAGATGGCCCTAGTTTAGGAATGCAAGAAATGGAGGGAGGTGGCAATTGGTTTCCTACCTTAACGTATTCACTGCCGGACCCCAGTCCATCCTGGTGCCTAGAAAAGGAGAGAGAGAAATCAAAAGTGAGCCTCATTAAAAAGTGGGTGAAAGAAAATGCCAAAACAGAGGTAACATCACTGATGGCTATTCCAGGGCAGGGGAGCAGCAAAGAGATTGCAGGTCGGGAAGTGCATTCACACTATACCATGGACACCATACTGGCAGGGTTGAAGCCTGACTCCTTCAGGATGTGTTTGGCTTATAAGAACTCCTTTTTAAATTTTAAATTTACCTTTAATAGTAAAGTCACTATGATTGTGATTTTTGCTATATGACATGAGACTATATTTTTATCTTACTGTTATCTACATACACACACACACACACACACAGAGAGAGAGAGAGAGAGAGAGAGAGAGAGATTTTCCGTATTTATTGGTTGCAATATACTGTTTCCATGCCAAGAGATGCCTTGGGTTAAGTGTGATAAAGAATTGTATAGAAATAATGAAAATAAATATAAACCGTTAAAAACTATAAGCTATATCGAGCCATCCCAAATCTAACAAAAGAGCAAGCTTTTCGTATTAAAATCAAAATCACCCCTTAATAGTTTTGCATGGTCGTGTATAACTACTTTGCCACATCCCAAGTTTTATCAGGCTGTTACATTGATCTTGGTAGTCTTACAGTTTCTAGTTTTGAAGCAGCTAGGATTCCTGCTGAAGGAAACGTGGTTATTGCATGAAGATTTAACTGGCTGCTTTGGGGACCATTTTGAACACTAGGTCATATTTTTCTTTCTCTGGAGGCTGTGCATTGCCTGTCTTGAAGTAGACCCTTGCTTCCACGCTACTGCTCTTTGGTGCTGCTGAGGCCTCACTTTTTGTCAGTTAGCTAGAAAAGGAATTTAAAAACTCTGTGCTCAAATTGTGGTTTTTGCCATTTGCCATTACACTGCCAGTGAGGCAAACTGGATGAAGGCAGCATAGCTGTCAACCGTCCCTTATTTGGCAGGAAACTCCCTTATCCCAGCGCCGTGTCCCGCTGCTGTCCCTTATTGATGATGTCCCTTAAATTTCCCGGGTTTCAAAGGAAGCAGCTCCTCTCCCTCCCTCCCTGCCGGCCAGGGAGGAGGGAGGCTCCAACTGTGTTGCCTGGCTGCCCAGCCTGCCCCCCTCCGGCTTCCTCTCATGAGCCTTGGCCCCTGGGAGCCCCTTCCCGCCAGGACTGGCGGGAGCCTCGGGTCCTTCCTCCGCCATCCTTCTCTCGGCCGCCGAACTGAGCATCTCTGCCTGGGGCCTCCCCTCTGCCTGTCGCCACCACCGCTCCCGCTAGGCTGTACTGTGGCTGCGCCGCCAAAGGACTCGGATGGAATGGGCAGCCTGGCGCAGCCTATGAATTGCTGAGAAGCCTTGAGAGGAGAGCAAGGGCAACCATAGAGAAAGAGGTTCAGAGAGAGGAGGAGGAGGAGGAGGCGGTGGAGGCGGAGGTGCGGGCAGGTGTTCCAAGGGCTAACCATAGAGGGGGAAAGCGGAGGAAGGACCGCAAGTGCTTCTCCCATGGATTTGTAGTGGTAGACTAGCATAGATGGTCTGATCTGTGGGTTTACTTTGGGCGCTATTCCCCCCCTCCCGCCTCGCATGATGGAACTGAGAGTGGCAGATGGAGCACGAGAGAAAAGATACAGAACTGCAGCAGCATCTTCGTAGCTTAGACTTCATTTTGCGCGAAAAGTGGTTGCTGCTTGTAGTTATTTAATTGCAGTGTTTCATCGGCTGGTGTCTTGAGCAGCAACCTCTGGAAACGAAGGGCTAAAAACCGGCGCTGCTCTCCCAAATTATCTGGTCCATTTTAACTTCGTATTTCAGCTGGTTGACTAAAATCCCTTATTCTGGCTGCTGATGCCTTATTTTCGAGGCTGCTGGTCCCTTATTTTCAAATCTGTAAGTTGACAGCTATGGGCTGGTGTGACTGGCTGCCCTCAGCATCAAATCTGCTGATCCTGGTGTTCCCAGATCCTACCATTGCACCTTTCCTCCTTCTACCATTTTCTTAGCGCTACCATATCAAGTGCACTGTGGGTGGTACATTTTGAAGTGGGTGAGTCTCATTGGCGTGGGATTGTGTCACAGTGAAGGGCCTCTGGTTGGCCGAAAACCATTATATAAATGTAGTAGTAGTAATAATAATAATAATAATAATAATAATAATAATAATAATAGCAGCTTCTTATCAAGGTAGCATGCCCTTCAACATTTCACAAATGAATCAACTGTAACTTGAAGAACTTCCCCTCCTCCCTCCTATTTCCTTCTTCTTCATGTGTTATATCTTTTAAAATTGTGAGCCTGATTTCATGGGCTGTCTTAATACTGTTTTTTGTAAGCCACTTAAGGGGCCTTTTTGGCTAAACACCAGGGCCAGGTGCTTCAAATAAGTCCATGACACATTTTGCTAGGGTTGCCATATTTCAAAAAATGAAAGTCAGGACACAAAAGTTGTTGATCTTTTCTTAATTTTGCCCAAAGTTGTTGAGCAAAAAAGAAAAATGAAGTTATTTAGCTATTTTTTGAGCAAAATCTAGACTTCCAACATGAGTTGTCATAATCCAAATTTTCCCAGACATTTTTAGCGATTTCCGCCCAGACACTGCTTTTGACTGCCATATTCCAGATGTATGGCAACCCTATATTTGCAGATGTTAATTCCTATGCATGATGCAAACTTAGGCTGACTTTCAGAGGGAAAGCTGACTTTTAAGCAAAGCTTCTTTTTTAAATTTAAGATTAAAGAAAGCAGGGAAAGATCAATAGATCTTGCTACTTGTGCAAAAGATCTGGTCTTAGGTATCCTTGGCTATCCCCTAGCAATACCACACCTTAAAATTTTGTGCATGCTTGTTAAACTTCTATCACCCTGTGTTTAAAACCATGATGATGGCATTGGCAAGTTGGGAGCTGTTGGGAGCTCTGAGAAGGAAAACCGAGAGAAGGTGGGACTGGAAGTGGTCTGGATCACCAAACTTCATTTGCAAATTAGGTTTGGATCAGGAGTCCATATCCTGGCCAATTCCACTAAAAAGTCCTGTGTTTAGTTGCCTTTAATTACCTCTGCACTTTTCAAGTTTTGGAGAGGGAAGCAGGCGGATGAAGGGACTGGCTTTGTTAGAGGATTGTCTCAGTGCAGGGCAAAGCTCAGTTAAGCCGCTTCTTAAATACAGCAAGAACGACAACATAGTTGTGTGAACCTCCCAGAGCTACCTGACTCTATCCAAGTGCCCAAATCTTTCCAGAAACTGGTCTTAACATCACTAAGAGGACTGGAGAGGAATTAAGGCTGAAAGGACAGAACACCAAAGCTGAAAGGTCCCAGAGCAGGATTGGCCGTAGTAAATTCTACCCCCGGCAGCTGTGCCCTGTGGACTGCTGTTTTCCTGATGGCTGGTGCCAAGAGACACCACAGCCAGGCATCTGATGAGGGCCCATAGCCCAGCAGACCCCACTGCATCTATTCCCCTTTTCCATGGGGTGGGACCAGCAGAATGCCTGATCTGGCCATGGTGACGCATGCCCTCGTTACATGCCCTTGTAGGACTACTGTGACATGAGCTATGTGGGGTTCCCTTTGCAAAGGGTTTGGCAGATTTTGCTAGTCAAGTATGCTGCAGCCATACTGCTGACCAGGGCCAGTTACAGGGAACATGTTACTCCTCTCTTAAAACAACTTCACTGGCTACTGTCCATTCCTGGGCGCCATTCAAAGTGCTGGTTATGACATTTAAAGCCTTATGTGGCTTGGGACCAGGCTACTTGAACAATTATATCTCCTTGCCCAAACCTGCCCAGATGCTAAGATCCTTGGGTGAACACCTTTCCTTGGTCCCATCAACATCAGAGCCACAACTGGTGGTGACATGAGAGAGGGGCTTTTCTGTGCCTGCCCCCAAAAAGAGGAATTCCCTCCCATCAGAGGTTAGGCTGGCTCCCTCCTTGTTATCCTTCTGCTGGCAGGCTAAGACCTTCCTCTTCAGACAGGCCTTTGGAGAGGAAGGTGCAGGTGATGATGGCCACTGGGCAGCTGTTAGGACAAACCAAACATTAACCACATGGTTCTAAATGTGTTTGAGATATTCTTTTTAACTAGCTTGTTGTCATTACATTGTATTTTATAATTACATTTCAAAATGTTGGGAGTTGTCTTGAGTCCCAGCTTGGGAGAAAAGCAGGACATAAAAACACCGAAAGAATAAATGGAAGACATGGCCTGAAGACATGGCTCTCTGACTGGCAATGAGCAGGAAAAGCAACAGCTGGGGGAAGAGACGAGCTCCCTGAGGGAAGGTGGCCCATGAGGGGTGCCTAGCGAAAGGCCCCCTTAAAAATAGAGCTGGACCTGGTCATCCTTGTTCCAGGAACCAGGCAGAGTGTGGCAGCCACCTCAAGTGGCGGATGCTGGGGGGACAAGGAACAGCAACAAGATTTTGTAGGACAAGCTGAATGTGCTATGTGACCTGCCCTGAACTCACGAAGACAGGCTGCTGCCCTTGGGTCTGGTAAAAAAAAAGGCTATCCCACAACAGTGTTGATGCAACTGCCAGTCTGCACTACTTTTATATGTGGAATGGGAGGGTGCCATTTCATACTTTGCTTCAGGCAGCAAAATGTATTGATCCAGCCCTGCAAGGACCATTCACGTCAGGCACAGCAAGGACAGGATCTATTTGCTTGCCTTTTCACTCAATAGCTGCCCCCCTGCCATTTCTGGAGCACTTTGATGACAGTATGACTGGTGACTGGGAGCGGCCCCAGAGACCACATAACACTGGTCTTGAAAGACCTGCATTGGCTCCCAGAACGTTTCTGAGCACAATTCAAAGTGTTGGTGCTGATCTTTAAAACCCTAAAAGGCATCAGTCCAGTATACTTGAAGGAGCATCGCCACCCCCATCGTTCAACCAGACACTGAGGTCCAGCGCCGAGGGCCTTCTGGCGGTTCCCTCACTGTGAGAAGTGAGGTTACAGGGAACCAGGCAGAGGGCCTTCTCGGTGGTGGC